AGACCCTTGACAAAATTCTGCGACCAGAGCACGAAAGTTTCATCACATTTCTAGGTCTCTTAACTACCCACTCTCAGCTAGTGCTGCTAGCCTTTATTAATTTCAACAACCACTTATATCAATTTCTAGGAATATTAACACATCAACAAACTCTGCTAATCCCATAATACGTATTAGCAGAGTTCTAGCAAACAGTGGTTGGTAGTGTTTTACATCAAAACGGTGCTAGGCTTATCAGCGTAGGGGATAAAAATCCAAAAAATAAAGTTTTGAGGCAAAAAAATTTATCACAGAAACGAGTAGGCTAATGATGCAAGACTAGCGAATCTAGAAAATCAGCTGAATCGAACTGATTAATGAAAAGTAGGCCCAGAAACACAAAATACGATACCGAGATATTGAAAAGCCTTTCCCAGTTAAGGACGGAGACAAGGAGAGCAAAGGGCGAGGGAGGCAGCGCGTGGTGAGGAAATTCTGTTTCACAGAAAAGAGAACACGCCTACAAAAGCAGTCCTCACCTCTCACTACATCGCTTATTCGTCACTCCATAGACCTGTATCAACAGATCTTAACACTGTTGGTAACAGCAGTCTAATACTTTCGGCAAAATTATTTATTTAAGAATCGGCAGCAGAACAGAATATGAGTTCAGGTAGTGTAACTGTTACGAAAAGAAAAATAGAAAAAAATGAGAAAAAACTACACTACTGAAATTAGAATGGCACAGGTTTTTGAACATGGGCATAGCAAAGCGAAATGCGTGTGTGTCTATTTTCCTCAGTGGATTAATTTTATTCAGGGTTGCTTTTTCATGCAAGATGTCTTGCTTCATTACTTTGTGCGCTGTTTCAACTTAAAATGCAAAAGCAGGACTTCGACTAAGTACAACAGTTCCCAGCACCAGCAGTTAAACCAGAGAGTATTCATATACACCGCCATAACTTTTCAGGAGTCTATACGCCAGGACAACAACAACAGCAACAGCAGTGGATACCGCAAGCTCCTTATGCCTAAAAAATTTAGCCTGAACAGGCCATATCCCATGGAACAAACTCAACGAATCACCGTTCCTTATAAGAGCTTTTTTACTGTTTACTCTGGCCATTTGAAATTCATACAACTAGTTAATGCAGTTTAGCGTCGAACGGCCTGGCATAGCTAATCCAGGCGAGTGGAAGCGTCGGAATAATATCTCTAACATGGGCTCCCATACCAGTCGCTCAGATGATCTCGGTAAATCGATATACAGGGTTATTCTAATTCAGAGTGTCGGAGAAACATAGCAGTGTGACAGGCCTTTATGCGCTAAATTGCTTCAGTTAGCAAACTGTCAATGGAGGAAGATGCTGTAGGAATGGGTCACATATAAAGTAATGACTAAGAAATTATTGCAAATCAGTAAGTCCGTTATGGGGGTTCCTCCGCAATTGAACCAACAAATTTTGGACACGAAAGTACTGGTCAAGTTATGGATCGATCCGAAAGTTAAAGCGTCCGCATTAATCCTCAACAGTTCGCGGTCAATCACTCCAACTACACTAACATATCAGAACAGTTTTAAATTACCCTTTCCGTATCATGTGGACACAGAGCACGGGCACTGCTTTTCTGAGTGCTGTATTTCTGTCTGTATATTCTGTTTTTCCCAATCAATTGTGTTTCCCGATCCTTTTTTTTTTTATAAAAATTTACGAGAATTTTCTTAAGGAAATTTTCGCCAAAACAGTTGACCAAAGCATATTTAGGTTTAAACACTCGAACTTAACATGTAATACAGCAAGTTTAAAGTTACATCATCTTCTTTCCCATAATCCTATCCATAAGAGATGATGATACTTGGAAATGGCCAAATGCAAATTGTTACTAAAAGTAAATACTACCAAAATGGCTGTTATTACGACTTGGAAAAAACTGAAGGCAATTCATAACTTTCTGACACGTGCTAACATCAAT